ATTATATATTAGTTAATATTTCAAGGATTTAAACGTGTCGTTTCTTTTTTCTTCTCCCTTTTCCGTTTTTCGCCTCTTTTGTTCTTGGTATCATTTTTTCGAAGGGTTTAAATATATTGTTCTCTCTCTTCCTACCTCCTTCCCTGCCCTATCCTCTTTCTCTCTCTTCTGATCGAGCCCTATTACATATTATAAATATTAAAATTGCCCCATCAATAGAATCAATGGAGTCAGCCATTGGTCCTTACGTTTCGATTTACTCTGTTTCTAATAAATACATTTTCTCTCTCTCTCTCTCTCTCTCTCTCTCTCTCTCCCTCCCTTTTTTTCTGTTTTTTTTTCATCTTTTTGTGTATTTCTTTCTCTCGTATAGTTCAAACTTATACGTACACATTTATTCGATTATTTACAATTTTTCTAAATCGAGTTATCTTTCTTCCGAAACGTCATCGATATATATATATATATATATATATATATATATATATATATATATATATATATTGTTTGTGGAATTATAAAAATTTAATGATTAAAATGAAGATAATAAGATAAAACAGAGGAGGGGGAGAGAGAGAGAGAGAGAGAGGGAGTTCGTATTTTATTCTGAACGTATCGACCTTTTAGTAAATTACGCGGTGCTTGCTCGAGGCTTCGCCTCGGCAATTACGGCTCTGGAGAAAAAGTTGCCACAAGAGAGAGAAAGAGAAAGAGAAAGAGAAAGAAAGAGAGAGAGAGAGAGACACACACACACACACACACACAGAAATGGGCGGATACAAGCAATGGGCCCACTCTCGACGTCGCGATGTCGTCACTAGCCGTGACGAGGAGCTATTTTCAGGCCCCCCTTGGAAATTATATCGGTGGGGAAAGGAAACAGATTGTTCCTTCGAGACCAAAAAAAGAAATTCGTTTCTATTCGTCGAGATCGATTGTCAAAATTTAATTTATGTACAGGTAAGTTTACACTACATCATAGATATATGAATGATCATTCTTTTCTTACGATCACTGTCTATCTATAAATATATCTACTTATACGAATTGTATTATATTATTAATATTAAGATGTAGAAGCAAAGTAATAAATTTATAAATAAATATGTTTGATGCTTTGATTTAATTGTAAAAAAAAAAGGGATCATATCTTTTGCATTTTTCTTTCTTCTTCTTTTTTTATATTCACTGACATTTTTTTTCTTTTTTTTTTTTTTTTTTTTATTTGTAAATAAATATATTCGATACTTTGAATGTTCCTAAAAGAATTATATCTTTCATATTTTTTTCTTTTTTTTTTTTTTTTGTTTACATTTATCGCTCTTCTTAGGAATAAAAATACATTTAATACTTCGATTGTAAGATAAAATTATACTTTTCGTATCTTTTTTACTTTTTTTTTTACATTTATCATCTACTTTTCTTTTAAGTATAACCGATCGGTTAAGTTCTAGTAAAAATCCATCATGAAAACATTAAAAATATATTTTACATAAAGTAAAACTGATTGTTGCGAGAGTGATAAAGGAATATGATAAAAATGTTTGAAAAACATGAGAGAAAGCCTTTGGAATCTGCAGAGGTTTGTAGGTCACGGTGTAACTCGATTAACAAAGCGATAACGATTCCCCGATCTTTATCATTGATAAAACTACGTATCATTGCGAATTAACACGGTCTACGTTGAACGAACGAGATCTCGAAAGAGATAAGAGATATTTCTCAGTTCCACGTGAAATATTTTATATAAATATATATATGTATATATATATATATATGTATGTATGTATGTACGTATGTATGTATGTAAGTATCTTTATCAAAAGTTATCATCAATGCTCGTTCATGTTCTCCGAGAAGGAAAATCGTTTTGCGTTAACAATCTTATTCGATCATTATAATAGAAATAACAATAATAACAATAATAATAATAATAACAGTAACAATAATAATAATAATAATAATAATAACAATAATAATAATAATAATAATAATAATAATAATAATAATAATAATAATAATAATAATAATAATAATAATAATAATAATAATAATAAATTTTTCCTTCCTAATATGTCCTGTAAGAAACTGTATTTTCATGAATGGTTTTTCATGAATGTAAAAAAAAAAAAAAAACAAGCAGAACACAATTATTTTTGTATCTAATATTAATACATCGTACCTGACCTGGGTCGTTGATTTTACGATGATCGAATGTACAAGATGATTTGAATGAATCTCTATCGTAAGTTCTATGTGTAAGATATAAATCGACAGCACAGTGGCATGTACGATTAGATAAAATCTCATTCTTTATATAATCAAGACAATTTTATAAAATTAATTGATATGTAAGACGAACATTACGTTTTTCCTTTTGTCGTCATGAAATTTTACAAAAATTTCATTAACTTTAATTTATTACGAACTTTAATTTCTTATTATTTTTAATTCTAAATTAATTCCGAACTTTAATTTCTTGTTATTTTTAATATTAATTAATTATGAACATTAATTTCATTCAGTTCTTCCTTCCTTTCTTTCTTTTATGTTTTTTTCTTTTTTCTTTTTTGCATCCATTCGCAATTATAATTGTAAATAAATCCTCTCGATTATTGAATAATATCGTCTCAGTTACATTATTAATGTTCTCTCTCTCTTTCTCTCTTTCTCTCTCTCTCTCTCTCTCTCTCTCTCTCTCTCTTTCATTTGTAATAAAATAAAAGATACCGTTTCGTTGGAATAAGTTCATAAACCGTATCTATCAAGCTCGTATCGAGTTTTCAACGAGCTTTCAAATCCGTTCCGACGTATGCGTTCACACTTTACGGAACGACGCCTCGGTTGTTTTAGATTTACATTACTCATTAAAATACTTGTGATCATATTCAGTATTATTATTTCCATTGTGTATTCCAAGAAGAGAGAAAGATAGATAGATAGATAGATAGATTGATAGAGAGAGAGAGAGAGAGAGAGAGAGAGAGAGAGAGAGAGAGAGAGAGAGAGAGAGAGAGAGGCGGCAGGAATGAGAGGAAGAACCATAGATCGGTAAATCTATTATCATCGTTAATTAAAATGATTAACGGAATTGTTCTATTATTATTAAATTAAAAGATAAATATAAATAGATAGACTAACACACAGACAAACAGATTGATAGATACAAATAATTAATTATCAAATTTTCAATAGAAAATAATAAAAATGATGAAGATTATTCGAAGAGACGATGGTTATATAAATACATAGTTACTATATAGATATAAACTACGGATCGGAGCAAACTTGCATTATCAAAGCTAATGCAATAGTTACAACGCGTATATACGTATGCTCGCCTCCGAGACTGGAATGTAAATCTTCGAACGTGCGACTTAGCGCCGGGGCAAGTAGGCAGGTAGACAAGCAGGCAAACAGACAGGTAAGCAGGCAGGCAGGCAAGCAGCAGGCAGGCAGGCAGGCAGTATGCAGGCGGTAGGCAGGCAGCAGGCAAGCAGCAGGCAGGCAGATAGATAGGCAGGCAAGTAGGCAAGTAGAAAGGCAAGCAAAAAGACAGGCAAGTAGACTTACATGTATATTTATGTGTATATATGTGTTTGTGTGAGTGAGTGAGTGATTGAGTGAGTGAGTGAGTGGGTGCGTGCACGCACGCAAGCAAGCACGTACGCGTGCTATCACGACACCAATACTAAGTTGACGAGCGTGCAAATGCGTTCACCGCCTTTAACACCTACGGATCGCTCGCAAGCTCCTCGTTCCACAATATTTGTACTATCTTTATATATCGAACCTTGAACAATTCCCGATGCACGTCTTGTTATTTATTTTTTTAATTTAAAACAAAAAACAAAAAAAAAAGAAAAGGGAGAAAAGAGCGAAGAATTTTTGTTTTCTTTCTCTTTTCCTTCTTCAATTTTAAAATACTAAATAATTCTCGTGGTTTATTTTTGGTTGAAAAAAAAAGAGAAGAAAAGAAAGAAGGAAAATAGAATGAGCGTATGATAAGTGAATTTTCGTGTAAGATCGCAGACATTTTATATCTCGTGGATATTAATAAATGGATTTGAGAAGAATAAAAAGAGAAAAAGAAAGAATGTAGAATAAGTGACTACTAACGTTATGTCGCGCTTCGTCGAATTCAATATTTCTGTTTCCGTAAATATTAATAAGAAATTTAAAAGATTTATTCATATTATTCTTGTAACTAATTATTTTGTAACTAACTAAAGAAATCTGGATGTATCTATATTATTTATGTAGCTAATTATTTTGAAAAGAAAAGAAAAAGAAAAAGCAAAGTGTACAATAAATAACATTTATTGTTCTAACCTATTCCCTGTTAGATTAAATGTTTTCTTTCGTGCATATAAATAAGAATTTTAATATTTATCTATATTCTCGTGACAAATTATTTTGACAAAAAAAAAAAAAAAAAAAAAAAAAAAAAAAAAAAAAAAAAAAAAAAAGAAAGAAAAAAAAGTGAATAAAAAAAAATAAAAGAAAATGAAAAATAGATTATACAATAAGTGACTCCTAATGTTATGTATCTCGGGTCAAATTAAATATTTTCTTTTCGTACACGTAAATAAGAAACTTAATATAGATTTTATTTGATATAAATTTAATAAGACAATTAATATAATTAATAAGAAAATTTTTAGATTTATTTATACAATTTAATACGATCCATAAAAACGATGAACTACAAATTTCTATTATGATTAAATGATAAAACGATTATGATAAAACGCCAGAATTTGTTTACTTCGTATTGTAAACTTGAATAAGCTAAATATATTCGAGAATGAAACGGTTTTCTTTTTTGTTTTTCCTCATTTTTCTTTCTTTTTTCCAAACTATTCGTCACAGATGTGATAACAATAAAAATATAATCGAGCTAAAGTGGATACCGGGAAAAAAAAAAAAAAAAAAAAAAAAAAAAATTAAGAAAATTAAGAAAATTAAGAAATTAAGAAATAAATTACTAACAAGTATTAAAGAAAATTATTATCAAAGAATATCGTTTGACTGATTTATTCGTATGAATTATACTAGCTATCAAGTTACTCGAGATTTACATACATTTTATCAGTTATTTCCTTCGCTGGTGGATACATCACGCTTAAGCATGAACATATATTTATAAGAATGTATATAAAGTAGTCGTAGATTAAAAATAATATACGCGACATGGCCTCTAGAACAATGCGCGATAACTCTCTTCCGTGAACGCGATTTGCTCACCTACCAACATTTGCTATGCAACCGAGGTGACCTCCGTTTTCCGTTTCTTCTATTTCCTTATCTCTCTCTCCCCTTTCCCCTCTCTCCTCTTTCCCTCCTCTTATCTCATCACTTCTCTTTCTCTCCACGGAAAACTTAGCATAATCGGAAAACCTCAGAGTAAGATCTTTACAACTAGATGCGTATAATAAACTTGCCTTGTAACGACTTAAAACAAAAGAAAGAAAGAAAGAAAGAAAGAAAGACAGAAAAAATAAAAAGAAAAGAAAACAAATAAAATAATAGTAATAATATTAATAATAATAAATAATAAATAATAAGAATAATAATAATAATAATTTATTCCGATTAACATTCACGAATTACGAAAGTTAAAATTCATTTTAATTCTTATCTTCGACTTTATCATTTACTAAATCCACGTTTGCATATTTAATTATAATTCGATAAAATTCATTCTTCCCATCTCTCTCTTTCTTTCTCGACTTTCTTTTTATTTGAACTCATTACGCAAACCGTACAATCCATAAAAATTCTATGTCTGTTTAATTCTACGAAATCTATTTATACAGAGTAATTATACGAACGAAGAGATCGTGCGCCATTCCTGTTTTCGTTCTTATTCGTCTTCACATTGTTAGAGGGATACTAGTGATGGTGATTGTAATGGTGATGGTGATGGTAATGATGATGGTGATGGTGATGGTGATGGTGATGGTGATGGTGATGGTGATGGTGATGGTGATAGTGATAGTGATGGTAATGGTAATGGTGATAGTGATGGCGTTGAGAGATAGGTGGGAAGAAAGGAGGGAAGTACACACATGAGTCGAACATGACGAAGACGATTAACCGTTTTTAGTTTTACGGTTGATCATAAATTTCCTATCGGTTAGGTTAATGGTCTCGATAATGAAAAATATGTGTGACAATCTCGTACGAACCGTGTTAATATTAGCGACGATTTATCGTCCTTCTCTTTGAGTTTATTACCTGTTACATCTCCCCCCTCTACCCCCCTCTTCACTTCCACTATCACCACCACCCCATATCTGAAAAAGAAAGTTCGTCGAAGAAATGAGCGGAGTTAGTTCCTCGATCTTCACAGAACACGTAAGTATAGACATAGAGACACAAACACTCGCTCGCGCCCGCGTAGATAAATCTTTGGACAAAGATAAATCTTCTAAAAGAGAAAATAGAAATCCTGGGAGATCTTGTCTCGAAAATATTTCGAACATTGGAGAAAAGTGACTCAAAAGTAGTAATCTCTCGTTCGTGGGAGAAATAATTATTAATATTAATATAATTATTTATATTAATTTTTTTAACATTAATTTATTTTATATTTATTTTTATATCATTTATATTATTAATAATATAACTATTATAATTAATATGATTAATATAATTATATTAATTATTTGATTATATATATATATATATATATATATATATATATATATATATATATTGCAAAATATTCGTTAAATGGGACAATTGTTTGAGAATAACGCCATTAAATTATTTATAATTTTAGGGATTTGAATTATTTATATTAAACTGCAATAAATCGTTCGACATAAAATCCGTTTATTTTTATAGTCGCAATGGATAAATTTTTGTTTTGTATTAACATCTTACAAATTTGTTTTCATAAAATACGAATTCAAGACGAAAGAAACGAACAACAAATATGAGGCCTGAAAAGGCTTTTCTAATTTTACAATCAGTCAAAGATTTTTCTCCTCCTTCACCTATCTTTTTTTTGTCGCAGTACCGCTCGTCGTTTTATCTTCGAGGGCAAAATGAAAAAGGGGGGCGGGTTAATCTTTGATATTATTTTTGATTCGTTCATATGTTTATATGAAACTTTTTTTCATCATTTCAATCATAGAAATATTCCTTCAAAATTTAGGAAGAATCATCTGTGTAATATCCTGTATGAGTATATATATATATATATATATTGGATTATAATCAGTTTTTAATCGATTTGAAAAAAATTTGTGTGAAGGGTCATCGTTAATAATGACAATTATATATTGAATTAATAAACGAAATTTAATTATTTACCAAATGATAAGAAAATATTGGGCGAATATTGTTCTAGAAAGTTTTTTATTTTATTTTGCGATTCGCAATGATTTAAAATTGTGAATGAATAAAAAACGTGTAAATATTTCGTTAATTATAATATAATCCTAAATACGGTATTGCGATTATTAGTGATTGCGTAGATTGTTAATTTATAAAAATATCGAAAATTGGTTGACGCTTGAAAAGAGAAAGTTCTTATATGATTATTTTATTCTTTTTTTTTTTCCTTTTCTTTTTCGCTTTTGATAAAATTTCAATCCTGTTTCTTATTTTAAAAACATCCAGTCTGTAGATGAGATGTATAGAGAGTATCGATATTATGTAAACGATGAACGAGGACTTCGGGTAAAGCAGAAGGAAAGTACGCTGTAACGTTATTGAATGCTATGCGAAATACAACGAGAATCGATCATTATCGATTACTTTCTCGATCGAAATGTCGAATGGAATAACTTGGATATATTGAATATTACGAACTCGTATATACGTATCTCAAACACGCATATATGCGTTCCATTCTATATTATCAATTTTAATCCTTTTTAATCCATTTAATTACAAAAAAAAAAGAAAAAGAAAATATATATATAATATAACTATATAATAATAACTATAATATATATAATATATATAACTATAACATAATTATGCTATATATATATACATATATATAATATAATGTAAAATGTTTAATATAACTTATAATTAGCAAAAAAAAATAATAGTTTTGATCCACGTGATATAAGTTATAAATTTTGTAATAAAAAAAAAGAAAAAAAAACCCAAAAAAACAAAAAACAAAAAAAAACAAAAAATGAAACAAGTCTAATATACACGAGTATGTTATTTCAAAGTTAAATGACGTTGTAGAAGGTTAAATCGAGAAAGTGTTAAATTACATGGGTACGTGGCATATATCCATATTTTATATATATATATATATATATATATATATATATATATATATATCACTATATCTATCGTATATATATATGTATGTATGTATGTATATGTATATATATCGACCTTCGAATTGACGATCTCTACCCGAATATAATCCACAACTTTCGTCCTTCCCTTCGAGGCATATATATAAGTTTCGATTTGCGCAATCGAGTCCGCGCGCACAAGCTCCTGCGAATTGAATGCGCGTGACAGGTTGAAAGGTGACTTTGCGATTAAAATACATTGGCAAAAGAAAAGAGAAAAAGAGAGAAAAAAAGAATACATGCCGACAAAATATTTTTAACCTTTAAAAATTAACTTTTAAATTTCAATAATTCTAAACATTGTAAATACATTACGTGAACACACACACACACACACAAATACATACATACATATTTAAAGAGATCATGTATCACAAATTAATAAATATATTGTAATCTATGTCGCGATTCATGTTTTTATAACTTAACGAATAACTTACCGTAAGTTTCGTTAGCTTAAGAAGATAATAAAGTGATGAAAAAAGAAAAAAAATAAAGAAAAAAAATAATAATAATAAAACGCAATATCTCTCTCTCTCTCTCTCGGGTGCATTTCTCTCTCTCTCTCTCTCTCTCTCTCTCTCTCTCTCTCTCTCTCTCTCTCTCTCTCTCTCTCTCGAGCTAAAGTTTCGCGATCCACGGAAAAGCACTGGGCGAAAGCGTCACGTGGTACAGACAGCGTTATACCGTGTGACATACAAACGTGTGCGACGGCGAACGAGTGAGCGAGAGGGCGAATGAATGAGCGAGAGAGAGCGAGAGAGAACGAGAGAGCGCGTATAAGTTGAGACCACATCGACCACGAGGCGCGAGTGTTCGACGAAAAGAGAGACAGAGAGATAGAGAGAGATAGATAGATAGATAGAAAAAGAAAGAGAAACAGAGAGAGACAGAAAAAGAGAGAGAGAGAGAGAGAGAAAGACAGAAAGAGAGAAAGAAGGGAGGGGGGAGAAAAAGAGTAAAAATAAAACGAGAGGAGTGAAGGAAAGTTCGACGTTGAGGGCGATGTCGTTTGAGAGGAATGCGCTTCTCGTGGCCTGTGACAGGTGGAACGAGTGAGCAAACGAGAGTCTCTCTGTATATATATATGTATGTATGTTTGTGTGTGTGTGTGTGTGTGTGAGAGAGAGAGAGAGAGAGAGAGAAAGAGGAGGGAAAGAGGGGAAGATAAAAAGAGTCGCGTGGCACCAACCTGTCGCTCTTCTCGACGACGGTGAGGGGTGCTAGTTCCTGAAGAGGCGGTTCCGCCGATATACCCTGTGCCCTCTGTTTTCTTGGCCTTGGTTTCGTTGGTGTTGCCGAGGGTATTGGAGACTTGTAAGGTAAAACGCTTTGGAACATGTCGATATGACTCCTAAGTTCCTGTATCTCGGCATCGCGCTGCGAAAGTAGGGCCTCGAGTTCGGCTATCCTGTCGTCCTTGACGCGTAGGAGCTCTTGAAGTTCGCGGAGCTTACCCATCGTCGTGGTGACCGGTATGTCGACTGGGAATCTTGCCGGTTGTTGTTGCTGCTGATGTTGTTGTTGTTGTTGTTGCTGCTGCTGTTGCTGTTGCTGCGGATCTTGATATTGTTGATATTGTAAATGAGGATGATCCTGATGACGTATGGTACCATCAATGCCTGTGGTATTATTGACGGCGACCGCAGCCACGGTCTGCGAGGAAGCGTCCTCCTCGTCGGCGAGCCGGTGCTGCGTCGACGAGAAGCACAACGAGTCGAAACACACGCGCATAGACACGCAGGCGTCGCCGATCGGCCCCTTGCACTCGTTATTCTCGTTCATTCAAAATATTATATTGACCACGAGCGTAGATCGTACGCGCTTTTTATCGCGCGAATAAACACTTTTAAACGCGAACGAAATGATACGAACACGATTACGAATACGACTATAACTACGACAACGACGACGACGACGACGACGACGACTATTACTACTACTACTATTACGGCTACTACAACGATGATTATGATTAAGAGCGATACCCGATTCGCTGAGATACGTTCACGGACACGTTTTAAGAGGATAAAAAGAGATAGATAATAATAAAGAAAAAGAAAGAGATAGAGGAAGAGTTTGAAAGAGAGAAAGAGAAAGAAAGAAAGAAAGAAAGATAGAGAGAGAAATTAAGACGGCTCGTTTTCTTGACGCACCGTCAACGTCGATCGATCGATCTAAAATCGCGAATTTCGCGCCCTCGAAAGAGAGCGAACAGTCGAAACACGTTCGACTGTTCTTTGCGAGGCAAACTCCACCAGAGCGCGAAACACCGACGACTGTCGTCGACTCGCCACTGTCGCTCGGGCCACGATGTGCATACTACGCGACGATCGCGCACGAGCACGCACGAGAGCGAGAACGAGAACTCGGCTCGTTTCGGTTTACATCGTCTTACTCCGCCGATAACCCGACTACCTCCTACCAATCACCCTCCCTCTCAACACCAATATCATCCCACCAACCTTCTCCTTTAGCGTATTATGTTTCGCACAACTACGTTCTATTCGATCAGTCGACTATCATCGCCGCTGACTTAACAGCGATAATCACTCGCCTTCCCATTGGTCCAAACTTTGGCGCCACTTACAAACATTCGCATAATCCCTTCACCGACAGATTTTCAGGATTCATTTTATGATATTTTCGAAAGATTTTTATTGTTAATCTCAGAGTTTATTGAGCGGGTTATGTAACTCAATTATCGCTCGCGAAATATCTATGGAATTATAACTCCTTGTAGATTCTCGTGATTCCGCTTACCCACTTTTTTCTCGAGGTAACTTCAATCGTTTGGGACGAACACGTCGGTACCGTCTCGTTGACCATTTTCCGAAGAAACCATTGATGTCTTCCTCGTCATTCTACTTACACTTTAATGTCAACGATATTTTATTATATTGTGAAATGTGTAATTAATTAGTTGAAAATATGACTACATAAATCTGATCGAAGCGACGTCATTATGGCGGATGTAAATAATACATTGCTACGATTTGAACGCCCCTACTCGTTCTTTTTGACATTAAATCTTCATATGGTTTTCAGTAGGTAATAACAGTTTGCAGATTTATCGATAATCGGTAATACGAATTATCTTTCTGCAGTTTGAATTACATTAGGATATTTTCATGGACATTTGATTTATTTAACTTATACAATTGTACTTGATATATAAATAATACGTAATTAGTAATTTTGAAATTATAACGTTGCATTTTATTTGTTAAACTTTTATAAGTTTAAATGCAAATTAATTTATGAAAATAATGCTGTGATTATATTACAAATCTAATATAGTGGAGAATTCTTAAAGTTATTATACTATGTATTATTTTTATTACGTACAATGTTATTAATCCGTCTTATCATTTATATATTAATTTATTGCGTTATGTAGTATTACAATGCGCAATTAATATTTGATAGAAAATCTTTTACATGTACTATCCAATAAATTACTACGTATGAAATATTATGTCCTAATGAAAAGTGAAAGTTATAACTTGTATATGTAATCTTATACATGATATTTTTATCAGGAACATTTGTTCATTATTAATTATTTTCAATAGTTAAACATCATACATATGATTAATATTGATTACAATTCCTGAGTATAATTTCAGGTATAATACACTAACATAGAAAAGAATTATGAATTACGATACATAATGGCATAAATAGCAAAAAAAATTTGTCAACACTTTCGACTAATCCCTTGATATACGTATGAATTTGAAGTGATATTAGAAACTATAATAAATAATTAAAAATAATTTTCACAATCTTTATAAAAATATTATTATGAGATCTAATCGATGAAAGAATAATGTTTTCCATTATTAAAAAATAAACGCATAAAGATCAACTTTTTTTTTTTACACTGGACGGTTACCTGCACTCTTACCATCTGCATTTATACCAATGTAAATAATTAATAATGCTAAGAATACTTTCTGTTTATATTTTGGGCAAATTTCTATCTCCTTCTAAGGAAGTGTCTTGTACGTTTGCTTGGATATCCATTTGTCACAATATATATTTCTAAAATCGACTATCGAATGCTTCTTTTAGAAATCTCCTTGAGGTCTATGTTTTAATGATCGTCCGTAAGGAGATAAAAATGGAAGAACACTACGATACATGTCAAGTTTTTTACGTAATTCTCTAATTTTAGCATCGCGCTGTATTAACAAACCCTTAAGTTCTGCCACTTTTTCATCTTTAACACGAAGCGTCTCTTGAAGCTCCTTGAGTGTATTAATGTGTTCTATCGTTATTTCTTCGCCAACAACAAAACTAACGTCACCATCATGCGTTATCGCTGGCACTGTAATTTCCATATCACTTTCTTCTATATTATGAGACGGTTGTGAAAAATTATTTTCATTAATACATTGTCGTGTAAACTTAGAACACAACAGATCTAAAGACTGACGCGCTGACTCCACATTCCTCGGCGTAATTATGGGATTCATATTTGCATATATTATTGTATTTTTATTAGTATAACCTGTTAAATAATAATAAAAAATTAATAAAACGATTAATAAATTTATACCATACTGGACTAATTTTACGATTACTTACCAATATTTACAATACAAATATCATTCCAAAACAGATTTTAATCAGAAAAATTGCAAATGATAAAATCCACAAATATTAATTTTGCACCGAGTCGAGTTAATCCGGCTACCTTCGTGTATTCGATTATATGATTGGCAAGTTCCGAATATAGGATGAGTTACCGACGGCGCCTCGACGGAAAATATATAAAGCTACATCTATTGTCTTCGATCTTATTAATTTCTTTTTTTTTATTATTATATTTTTTGATTAAATTATTAAATACATTATTACTATTACATATTATAGTTAAAATAATTCATTTGATAGCTTGAAATTTGTTATCGACAACAAAAGTACGATTTTAACAGCGTAACGTTTTACTTGAGAAAAATCATACCAGAGGTCTCCACATTTGTCTCGATGATTTCGCCAAGCTAAAAACTAACTCAATCTAATATTCGAAAATATCATTTGTTTCCGATTATTTGATTTTATTTTGGTTATAAAGAAAAAGAAGAAGAAGAAGAAAAAAAGAAAAACGAAAGAAAAAGAAAAGACAAAACGAAAAAAGAATAGAAACAACAATAAATTTATCATCAATATTATTACGCGTGGAATATACGATGAAAAATTATTTTGAATTATAAAGGATATTACAAAGTTGGCCATCAAAACTATAACACCAATCTCGATAATTTTCTTTTCCAGTTCATTCGACAAATACATTGAGATGTCTCGTATTCGATGGGGTTCGCACTGCGACGAAGGATAGTTACTGAGTTAGAAGTTCACGAATCGAATGCCCGAAGGGAAACTAGGAGGACTTTTGTTGGGAGCTAACCATACGCATATATACATGCGTATGTAGTAGTGGTTCTCCTCGAGGAAACATAATGTCATAATGGAATAGCGATGTTAGTAATAGCGGTTGAGAGAGAAAGAGAAACAGAGAAAGAGAGAGAGAGAGAGAGCGAGTTAGATAGATAGGTAGATAGATAGAGAGAGAGAGAGAGAGAGAGAGAGAGAGAGGTCGATTCGTACCTCCTGCCTGTTAGAGGTGGTAGATGGAGGTGGTGGAGGTGGTGCCGATGTAGCTCGCGAGTCGGACCAATTTGCATCGCATTGTGTACTCGTTACGCCTCCATCTGCCGTCGGCTGGCACACACTCGCGTCGGCGTCGGGACACGTCGCGGCGATGTAACCACCAGTATTCGTTCGCCCTGGTGCGTCCTGGCAATCAGCGCCCTGGGATAGGAGCCGTGGAAACCGCGGAAACCCGCAACTCGATTATCGTTTCTGGCATCGTTATCGTTATTAGTCGCTCCATCGCCTAGCTAACATGGTACCTTTCTCTTCCACCCGCACGTCGTACTAACACCCGCACCCCATCTCTTGCCCGGAGAATCAACCCCTTCTCTATACAATTCTCACACTCGGCGATACCTTCAACCCCTCTTTCCTCTTTAACCTCTCTCTCTCTCTCTCTCTCTCTCTCTCTCTCTCTCTCTCTCTCTCTCTTCCTCTCTATCTCTGTCCTTCTCTATCTCACTCGACAAAGTCTCAATCTGATTATACGCTTTGTCAAAGCTTTAGCACCGGCAGAGAACCGATACCTTTCCATCGGTGCCGATGTACGTTCCCTTGAGTCCGTTCCGCCAGCTGCTTAATCATTAACATCGTTCCACTGTTACCGACCACCCGCTTACTCTCTCTCTCTCTCTCTCTCTCTCACATGCATACTCACTCACTTACTCATACGCTTGTTCACTCTGAGTCCAGGATTCCCGATTCTCGAAATGGTTTCGAAGATTGGCAGGAATAGCGATTAACTGTCGCCTCTATTGAGGAAGCACAAGCCTTCTCTTAATCGACAACTGATTCTCTGGATCGAAACATTATCGTCATAGAAAAGGAAACAAACAACTAACTAACCAACCGAACATAACCGAATGGACTTTGATCTTCAATATCAAGCTTTGATCTCATTAATTCTCCTTTGTTGATTAAACACAGCCGGCATTTAAATCGATTTAAATCTTATGTTTGTCTTTTCGGTCAACGTGTCATTGCGACAACGTAATTGTATTTACAGCGATAGATTTTTTTTAGATCTGGAAGATGGACACCCCTATCTCCTCCTTCTCCTCATCCTACCATTCCTCATTTTCGTTGAATCGGTCAGCTAACTCCTTATTCCCTGGAGATAAAAGCTCGTGTTCGGGGTTTTCGTTTTCATTGTCCAAGGGAAAAACGTGTCGCTCGTAACGAATCAATTCATTATCACGTTCATATTTAAACGTCGTCATCCGTCCTAGTGGTTACGTCATTGTCATAGAACGTTTACGACGCATTTTTTTCATTCATGGAACCTTCTTTTTCTCTTTCTTTTCTTTCTTTCTTTCGTTTTTTTTTCCTCTTTTCGTTTTCGTTTATTTTATATCCTAATTACACATCGTATCGTATTAAAAACAAATGAACTAACGGGCAAACGTAACAAAATCGAACAAATCGTTTTGCTAAAAGAGAATAACGAAACGTTATCGTTTATGTACGTTCCCGTAGCTTCATTCTCGTACGTTTCTCGTAAATTTCTGATAAACGTGAAGATTATCGATCGAGGTAAGATATAATAAGAAGATTTTCTAAGGTACGATCTTTCTACTATGTAAGTAGTCTTCTCTATGTAAGTCGTCGCAGTATCGAAGAATGGAAAACTCAGAGAAACGTCTTCGTTCATCCCCACGGATACTCGAGAACTTCGCTTTGATCTCGTGCCTACTACCCACCCTCCTTAACCTTTCTCTCTCTCTCTCTCTCTCTCTCTGTCTATATATCTACCTATCTATCTATCCATCTATCTCTCTTCTCTTCTCTTCGTCGTTTCATAGTTCGGCCGTTCGTGGCCCACCCTCGAAAATATCAACTAAACGATAACCGTATTTATTATTCATTCGTCCGCTTCGTTCTCCTCTCTCACTCTCTCTCTCTCTCTCTCTTTCTCTCTTTTCCCCTATCCTTTCGACCCTCCAATTTTATAAAGTAGTTTTTCAAAGAATTTCGCGAGCGCGAAACGCCGAGGGTGAGAAAGTCTGGCGCACGATAGAGAAAAGGAAAAAAAAGAAAGAGAGAGAGAGAGAGAGAGAGAGATACTTAGAGTTCACAGTGGATACGCAATGAAGCAAAATTTGAACTTTTCTACCCTCGCATAGTTCACTCAAATACAATCACCTCTTATACGTATTCACGTTAAATCAATTCAATTAATCTCTTCATCCCGTTTAACATGCTTCGACGAAAAAGTATTCTTTACCTTTGAAACTCGTGAAATACGTAATTAATGACGATAATTGAATAGGATTAATCAAGGAAATTTTAACATATTTCATGCAATTTTCACGGGTTCGTACGTAACGTCATGACCAATAATACGAGTTATGTTTGAGGAGAGATAAAAAAACAAAAAAAGAAGAAAGAAAAGAGAAAGGAAAAAAGAAAAAAAGAAATAAATTCGTTCAAATTTTTCGGTATTAACTACAAATGAGAAATGGAAATAGATAGATAGATAGATAAAATATATATATATATATATATATATATATATATATATATATAGAGAGAGAGAGAGAGAGAGAGAGAGAAAGAAAGAAAAAGAGAGAAAGAGAGAGAAAAAGAGAAAAAGAGCCAGAAGCACGTTCTTTGGTTCAAAATGAATTTTCGCGCGTTAGAGATTTTTTCAAGCGCGCTATAAAATGTTTTCCGAGTATTATTTACGATCTCTCTTTCTCTCTCTCTCTCTCTCTCTCTCTCTTTCTCTACCTCTTCCTCTCTCGCTTTGTATTCTTTTTTTCAGTTATGTGTAAAAATGATATTTACAAAATACGTAAATTTAATCGAGCTCCGTTTAAAAGTAATAAACAAATATTCTCTCTTTCTCTCTCTCTCTCTCTTTTTAATTTTATTTCATAGCAAAAAGAGATAGATAGATAGAGAGAGAGAGAGAGAGAGAGAGAGAGAGGCGCCAGGCTCTCGATGTTCCTAACTATGTACATATAATATATAACATATAACATATATATATATATATATATGTATGTATGTATGTATGTATGTATATGTGTATGTATACATATATGTACGTCCGCATAGGATGACAGCTTGATGAATCGATATCTCTATTGAGAGAGGAATGACGTTGCGGTTAGTTCACGAATGTTCAAAGGAGAAAAATCGAGTAGGGAAAATCCCAGCAGAAAAGCGTTTGAAAATAAAGACACCCGACATATCGCGTTATCGAGATTAACGCGAGCGAACTTAAGCCCAATGGTTTCCGTGCTGGTTCGGAAGGTACGAAGGGATGCTGTTCGCCCGTCGAATTCGAGATATCAGTTACGCGGCTGACCTATCTCGTTTTCGATATTTTCAAAGCGGATCAAAAGATAATACTTATTCCTACGATATTATCTATTTTTTTTTTAAATATATGTATATATGTATGTGTGTACATATGTATGATGTTATATGTTAATATAACTACGGTTATATTTATTTATTATAGATTTTCGATCGAAGAGAAAGAATAGAAACGAAAAGGAAACAAATGAAAAAAGAAAGAAAATGGAAGGAAAATTGTTTTTTCCTTTTTTTTTTTTTTATTTTTGTTTTCACTTTCGTTTCATTTACATTCTTTTTCTCTACTTTATGCATTTTAATTTTCATTTTGTCGATTGAAGAATGTTAGCTTATCAGTTAGTTACGTTAGTCGTTAGTATAAAATTCGTTCGAGTCTATTCACGCCTCGAAAATAATTCAATCGCTCGTGGAAGACGGTCGGTCGGTCTCATTTCCCAAATGAAGCTAGTAGCGACTGGCATATTACGTTTAATCCGGCTCATTTTGTCTCAAGAGTCGAGTCCTCGAAATGTCTCTCTCTCTCTTTCTCCCTCTATTTCTCTCTCACTCTCTGTATATATATATATATATATATATATCTCACTCTCTCTTGAAATCCCTATGGGGGGATGATGGCTGAGATTAACGAGAACCACCAAGAGAATATGCCAATTTGTAGCTCGTTTTCTCGAGATTACGACATTCTTCGTTACTTTCTTAGATATTTTTTCTTCGTTCTATCTCTCTAGTTCCTTATATTTTTTATGATTAATAATCTTATAAACTA